GTTTGGTAGGTTGGGGAGACTCACTAAGCTTCGTGCTTACAGTTTTCATTTTTGGTTTCTGGTACTTCCGGTAGAAAGGGGAAGAGCTCGGGATGATTGCAGTGCACACACCATTTGTTTAGCCTGGGATGTTTATACTCTGATATATTTTGACGGATGTTGTGATATTTTGAGATACACGACTTATGATTTATATATGATGTTTGGATGACTATGGTTTTCTTAATGATTTAAAATGAAATTTTTGGTCATGATTTTTGGGATGTTACAAGTTGGTATCAGAGACATGGTTTGAGGGATTCAGGCATACTCTTGGGTGTGTCTGGACTCAAACTAAGGAAGAGGGTGTGGTGCATGCAATCAGTCGAGCTCAAGTAAGTACCCAAATTACCCATACAAGTTTATGCATGCTAGATTAGGGATAAGGATCTAGGAATGATGCATTGTATGCATGTTATATGTGAATGAGAACTGCATGCTAGATTAGGGATAAGGATCTAGGAATGATGCCTTGCATGCCTGTTATATGTGAATGAGATCTGCATGCTAGTTTAGGGCTAATGATCTAGGAAGGATGCCTTTTATGCCTGATGTATGAGCTTTATGAACTGCGTGCTAGTACTGATTAGTCAGTGATATGATGACCTGATTAGGATATGCTTGATTATGTTTACTCGATGCTCGAATGGTCCTTTCTTTGTGCTTTTAGGAGTTCTAGTTATCTTTAACTAACTAGTGAACGAATATGTTAAGTTACATATTATGAGGACTAAATATTTTCAGAAGGTTAGGTCTAGCCCTATTTCACAGCTCTTGTATGCGTCCAACCGTTATAGGGTAGGACCTCTCATTCGAAGAATTATTTGGTCTTAGTGATATGTAATTGTATTCACAAGCTAGTTAGGGAAGGGTAGCAGGGAATCCTTATGCGGCTGATCGCGAAGAGTGGGTCGGTGATTACCCTAGGGTCATCCTAGGATGAGATTTAGTGCTGGGAGCAGTAGTAGTGAAAGGGACTTTGTGGAGTCAAGGCAATTCTTGAGGAAAGTACGGATAGATGTGGAAGGTAGTATGGGCCCGTACTACTGAAAGCAAAGGATCCGTACTCGAATCAAGGAAGGCTGAGATGAATCTAGGAAACTTGTAGTGTGTGTGACCCCTCGAGTCATGATGAGTATTCTGATGTTTGTTATGGTGTATTTTCATAATGGTGACGCTACGCACTAGAGAAGTGGGCACTTCAGGAGCTGGTGAGGGATGAGGCTCGGGCTCAAGAGTCGGGCAGCTCGATGAGCAAATGAGAGAGTTTATTTCAGCTATGGTTACACGTAGTATCCTTAACCATACTCCTGTGATCTTCGGTACGGTCTTGGAGGGTATCTTAGAGATTATGTATAACAGGTTGGGTGCATTCTGCACCAAGATGGAGGCCATGATGGGGACGCGCACATTGACATTCAGGGAGTTCCGAGCTTGTGGAGCTCCAGATTATCATGGGGATAAGGACCCCCATTGCTAGCAACCGGTAATTAGCAGATGTCGCCAATGCCTTCCGTTCTAGCCGGTGTCCCGAGGGGTACAAGGTCCAACTCGCCTCCTGTCTTCTGAAGTACAGAGCGCATGACTGGTGGGAGGAGGTTGGACATGCTATTGGAGATGATGCCTCTTTGGACGCGATGACATGGAGAGACTTCTTCGCTAGGTTCAGGGCCGACTTTGCACCAGTGATTGAGGTGAAACAGTTAGCACGGGAGTTCCAGGACCTCCAGCAGACTACAGAGACGGTGACTGAGATCACCGCTAAGTTCAGGGATAGGGCCCTTCTTGTGTCGCAGTATGTAGCGGACGAGGAGATGAAGAAGGCCCGATACCATGAGATGCTGAGGAGCGACATCAGGCAATTTGTGAGTCGGTCCAGCTACAAGCCGCTGGAGGATATGATCGCTCGAGCTAGGCAGAAGGAGATCAACTTGGAGGCATAGAGGAAGAGAAATCCAGACGAGGTTCAGATATCCACGGGATTGGGCAAGAGGCCCAAGACATCGGATTCTAGATCGAGGAGTGATCAGGACCGTAGCCGTTGTGGTAAGTGCGGAAGGACACACAAGGTTGCGTTTAGGAGTGGTAGTGGTGGTGATTCTGGTTGCTTCAAGTGCGTCCGGGACGATCATTATAGCAGGGTTTGTACTACTACCACCACTCAGGGATTCATTGCAGTCAGCGGGGCCACAAGAAGGCCCAATGTCCGAGTTTGGCAACAGTGGGTCAGGTGATAGCACTGGCCCCTGCGACATTGAGGATCACCGACGGCCGTCAGGGTCGGGCAGAGGCGCCTGCGGCGAGGAGCGGGGCTTTTCAGATAACTATAGAGGAGGCACGAGCAGTTTCCGATGTTGCAGGTGTGTATCTTTTGTTTTTTTATCCTTTTTTATTTATAATTTTATTGCTATTGTCTTTTATCCATATAAGTAAGTGTATCTTGGAGTTATATTTTCTACTTATGTTCAGATTATATGCCATCTACATACCATGAATCTTAGGGTAATAGTTCGAGATCATTTCCTTATATAGTGGGTTCCCAGGATGCGATAGATGTAGCAGGTGTGATTGGAACTCGGGAAATGTTCCGCTAGGCTTCAAGAGCTGTACTGTTTTAATATTCGCTAGTTTGGAACACTAACAGTGGTAAGCGTTGGACGCCAGCAGACTGATCATTGAATGGCAAGAAGGATTGGGAAATCCTTTCAGTCTTGTGCGCTGTAAGATGTTAGTTGAAGCAAAGTGGGGGAGAATCATTCGGGGATTCAGGAACAAAAGTGAGTGTGAAACTAGGATGAGTCTACATTCCCATCGGGGACGAAAGCGGCCCAAGTGGTTGTTTAGGTTGAGGAGTATGTGGCTTGGGAGTTTGGGAAACTTCCCAACGTAAGTTTCACATCCTTTGGTGTTTGATAGCTGGTTTTGGGAAACCAGGTGGGGAATTCCCGTCAAGACGCGAGTTCAGGCAGGATGTTAGGTCGCGTGCATGCTCAACGACGGATGTGTTCAGGCTGGCGATCAGCTGGTGAGACAGCGTGGAAGGTGTTGTAAGACTGTCGGTAGCCGTAGCATACACTAGCGGGTAGATAGTAGAGGAAAGTATGGTACGACTACAGGCCAGTCGTAGCATTCTTCATGTGGACAGATAGTGTGAGGAAGTGATGTTAGACTACGAAAAAGGTTGTAGCATTCATAGGTTCGTTCAGATAAGTTAGGCCTGCGTGGGTCAGTTCGTAGGATGGTTGAAAGGCCACAGCGTGATCGGAATCAAGAAAGGTTAGGTCGATGAGATTTGAGGTGGAGTTGGACCTGTGTAGTCCTAGTTAGCAGAGTGTGGGCGGGGGCCCGTATATCCTAGTTAGCGGAGTGTGGGCGGGGGCCCGTATCTCCTAGTCAGCGGAGTGTGAGCGGGAGCCCGTATCTCCTGGATTAGAAGAGTGCGGGCGAGGCCCATATCTCCTAGTTATAGGACCAAGAGTGGCAATATGGATAGAGTAGTTTTGATAGCCGAAGTTTTCTTCGGAAGTTTATGGGAGCGATTGAGTAGGTGTTCTTGGGTTCAGTAACCGGGTAGGAATCCGGTGTTCCAGATAGTGACAGATAAGTTGGGACCATGGTGGTCTCGGTTCATTCGGAAAGTGGACAAGTGACAGCGTGATGTTTGGGCAGAAGTAGTGATATGAGGATTCTTGTGCGAAGAGTAGTTTGTTGATCGAAGGTGCTAAGTCACTTACAGGTGGATTAAATAATCTTAGAGTAACTGATTTGACCCTGTTGCGCAGCTCTCGTCTCAGTCTAACCGTTTCAGGGATGAATCTTCTACTCGAAGGATTATCTGAGCCTTCTATCAAGTATAAGTATTCTACAGCTGGTTATGGACAGGGATTTTGTTTCTGATGATAGCATCGAGATAATTGGGTTTAGAAGGTCTTGATAGTTGGGTTCAGTTGCCTAGGGAATGCCATTGATTGTGCGGAATGTTGGTTGTACTCTCAGGATGACGGGTGTCAGTGCTCATGGGGAAACATCAGCTGGTTCAGCACGGGCAGGAGGAAAGCTGCGGGCGTGGTGCGTGAGATGTTTGCGGTGTAGGTGACAGTAGTGGACTTCGAGGACGAAGTCTAGTTTAAGTGGGGGAGAGTTGTAACACCCGGAAACCAAAAGGCCAATTAAGGAAAGAAAAACCTCAAACCAAGAAGGCAACTCGTCGAGTTCAAGGGTGAGAACACGACGAGTAGGAAACGTCCGGAGGCGGGTGACTTCATCTTGTAATATCAGAACATTTGTATATAAATGAAACAAAGTAACCATCATCATCATACATTACGATATCAACATACATGGTTTACATCATTGTATTTGTTTACGAAGTACATCCAAAATAACATAATGTATGATAATTCAAATGAACAACAAATATCCAAATTTCCTTAGTTGTCCACCTGCTTATTGAGTTCCTGAGAATACAAGTCGTTTTGAAAAGCGTCAAAATAGAATGTTGGTGTAACATCCCGTTTTAAGTTGAGTAATTAAATAATAAATCAGGAACCCCATGAAGTAATTATTATTATTATTTTATATTATTTGAGCCCAAAATGTAATAATAATTATCGTAATGTTAGTTTCGGGGGTTAAAGGATAAATATCGGGCTTAATTTGAAAGGATCTTGGATGAAGGGGCCATATGGTGAGTATTCGGACTTGTTATGTAATGATTTTCAGAAAGGAGGGTTTAGATTGTAAATTAAGGTCTTAATTTGAGAAAAGAGGAGAAGGAGGGGCGAGTTTTGTCAATATGGATAATAGTTTTGAAGGAACCGGTTATATAATCTAAAACCCGTCACCATGTGCATCAAACCCTAACCCTAAAGGTGATGTCGGTCACCATCCTCTCCTTCTTTTCCTCCAGCCGCCATCTCAAGCCTCATCCGTCGCCACCATGCCACTGGCCCATTCTGCCATCAAGACACCACCATCACTACGTCGCTGGACATCTTGTATGGCCGGAAAACCACCAGGATGTTTCGTTGTCGCCACTTCCTACCGTGGCTGCTTGACCGGAAACCAAAGAAATCTCCGATGCCGCTGCTTCGTCGACGATGACGACCACCTCGTGCCCATCTTACTGTCGGACGTCGTGGACGATCGAGAGAGGGATGACCGGAGTCGCCAACCCCGTTGTGGAGGTCGAAACCACCAACTATAGTCGTCGCTGCTGCTGTCATGCTCGTTGTCGTTTCTGTTCCGACCGCCGCCATGCTCGATGGGTGTTATGCGCGTGTGAGTGCATGGTTCTGTATGTGTCGGCGTGCGGGCGTGTTTATGAGCTGGTCGGAAAATGTTGGGAGCCACCATGGCAGCCCACCATGGTGGCCATTGGTCGATTGCTGCTTTTTTGCCGCCATACACCACCGCCGGCCACCACAAGGTAGGTTGTGTGTGTGTGCGGGGGTGTTAGTTTAGTGGGTGTGTTATTTGAGTTTTGTGTTGTATGATGTGATCGTTAAAGGATAATGGAAAGAAAACCCTAACCACCACCGTAGGGTGATGGCCGCCGCCTCTTGATTCGTATGGGATGCATGAAGCCCTAATGGGCCCAAAAGAACCATACTTGACCTAATAAAACCCTAGTGGGCCCAATAAGGCCCAATGTGATTTAAAAACCCAATCAATGGACTAACGGGCTAATATTGGGTTGGGAAACCCTAATTAGGGTCTGGAAAACGCTAACAACATAAAACCCTAATTTTTGGGAATTGATCGGCACGCACACGAGAATTATTTAATAAGTTGAAATATTAAATAATAGTCATTGGCAAATTAATATAAGGCAACAATAGACTTAATAGATTAAGTCCTTAATGGGTTAAGTAAGAAACACTTAACCCTAATCATCATTTCATGTGAAAACCCTAATTTTGGGATTACGGGCTTGGACTTATCGGGACCCACATTAGGCCATTGGAATGGAATTAAGTATAAGCCAATCACACCATATGACTTATTTAGTAAACTGAGGGACTTAATGGATTAAGTCCTTAGTGGGTTAAGTGAGAAACACTTAACCCTAATTGTCATTTTATATGAAACCCTAGTTTCACTTGGGCTTTGGTAATTGGATTATTAATGGGCCATCCAAGAATAATCATATGGACTAGAATATGTTGATGGGCTTAGGGTAAGGCCCATATGAGGGTGTGGGCCCAATTTGGAAAATTGGGCCATATGTTGGGCTTTGGCCCATTAATTGACTATTGAGCCTTTAGTGTGTGAGTTGGACTTTGGGCTTGGAACCCAATTATTAATTGGGTGTTGTTTGATGTTGACAGTTCGGGAATCTGTCAACCAGCAGCTGGAGTTTTATCGGCGGGACTTCAGCAGTGCCAGGTGAGTGATCCTCACTATATCAACAGGGTCTAAGGCACCAAGGTCGGCCCTTTATGGATTGTATTCGGATTATTGCATGTTATGCTTACTGATTTACATCCTGGTAGTTGGGATGGTGATATTCTATGCTTTAGTGACCCGGTTGGGTCGGTATCCTGGTATATAGGATGATGCTATGTTAGTGACCTGTTAGGTCGATATCTTGGTTATGGATTGTTGCTATGCTTTGTGATCTGTTAGATCGGTTTGACTGTTATATACATGCTAGTGTTATATGATATCTATGCGCCAATGATTGTCCTGGTTATAGGATAATGCTATGCTAGTGACCGGTTAGGTCTGTATCCCGGTTATTGGGATGTTGCAATGGTTAGTGATCTGTTAGATCGGTTTGACTGTTATACGATATGTGCTAGCGTATGATATTTATGTGCACATGTTTGTTTGATTGGGAGTTGGGTTGAGGCGGTCCTGCTTTGTGCTGTAGGCCAACACACCCGACGAGCGATCCGGATAGGCTGTAGGCCCTGGGAGGCGGTCCAGACGTGCCGAAGGATCGGAGAGCAGGCCAGATAGACTGAAGGCCTGTGAGGCGGTCCAGTCAGACTGAAGGCTCATTATGCATGTTGTTTACTGTTTGTTCTGTATTGGTTATATGATATGGTTATGTTTGTATGGTGTTGGTATTTTGGGGAAACTCACTAAGCTTCGGGCTTACAATTGTTGATTTTGTTTCAGGCACTTCTGGTGATTGCGGGAAGGCGAAGGCGTGATCGTGCACCTCCTCATATTTTCATGATTGATTCTGGGGATACTCTAATGTGTGAACCATTTTGAAAACAAACTGTAATAACTTCATGATTTTAAAATGTATTAAAAAGTTTAAATTTGGCTTGGATTTTATGGGTGTTACAGTTGGTGAGTTCATAAGCATGTTTGTATGAAAACTTTGTAGTAGTTTGTAAATCTCCAGAAAATCCAATATTTTCTTGTAAAAATAGTTTGTAAGTCTCATTTCAAATCATGTATAATTGCATGTGTATTCTTTGTCTATCTTTTTTGAAAATGTATAGAGAGTGATTCCCAGAAAATCCTGTATTTTCTTTTATATGAAAAAGTGTGGTCTTAAACCCTAAGACCCGAGTGGTGAAATTAGGTGTAAAAATAGTTGATGCATAGTTTCGTACTTCGTAGCATGAGTAGAGTATATGTATTGCGAAAATTTTAAATATAATATTGTTATTCTCTATGTGAGTCGTTACAACCATACTAATATGACGAGAGCGCCTGTCATGACGTTCTTCAGGCGTCGGTTTCTAAAGATAATTGTCACCCTAGACTGGCCTGTCTAGCAGTAGCGAGCAGCTCAGGTGTGGGGGTGTCAACCCCGTATAGATCTATACACAATATCCCGCTCTCCGTCCAGAAGACTCTGATTATAACTACAGGCTTACTATGTACACTAGGTAGGTACGGGTGAAGGAGTGCCTCTCAAGAGCCTTAACGAAATTTACGCGAATATTGAGTTTCATTATTTAACGTTATAAATAGTGTTTCTAGTGTATATTTTTTACTACAAACCATGGGTCATAGAAAAAATATAATCGTTTTTACCTTAAGTGTCAAAATATAACATTGTTATTATTATTGTCACTACAGGCCTAATTAACATAAAAGTTGTCATCAAAGGCCCAATAAATATAGAATTATCGTATAGGGACCAATTTTTACCCAAATTAAAATTAGAGTCCCATTTTTATTAAAATGTTCACAAATGGCCCAATATTATCCAAAGTGCCAATAATGGCCCATTATTATCAAGAATGTCAAAAATGGCCCATTTTTACTAGAGTTGTCAAAAATTGCCCATTTTTACAAAAATATTCATTTAAGGCCCATTTTTTCAAAAGTGTTTAAAAATGGTTCTTATTTACTAAAAATGTTCAAAAATGGCCCATGTTTACTAAAAAGCCCATTTTCGGCCCATTTTTACTAAAATGCTCAAAAATGGCCCAAGTTTATTAAAAAGCCCATTTTCGGCCCATTTTTACCAAAATGCTTAAAAATGGCCCAAGTTTATTAAAATGTTCAAAAATGGCCTATTCTTATCTTTATGGCCGAAAATAGTCCAATTTTTAGTGAGACTTCCACATTTTATCATTTTTCATGTTTTCATGCCAAAAATTTGTTTAACGCATATGCTTGTACTAATCTTTGCGATATTTACCATGCATCAAGTGAAACAAGTTTCATTTAGGAGCTAGTTTTCATTTTTAACAACATGTTATGTTAACTAAGTCCACCATCTTGAGATTTAACCATAAATCTCGAGTTCTTGGACTCTTAGCATGGATTTCACAACATTTAACACACATATCATACAACACATGCACATACAAGCAAATACACAAATATTTGCACAAGACTTTGACTTGTATCCTCCCCTAAAAGAAAGAAAAGCTCGAAAATAGGGGTATGAAGCTCACCTTGGGGGCTTTTTCGGTTTGAGGAGGAAAGTGAAGGTGGTTTTCGGCCTAGAGTGCTCCCTTGAATAGGTTTTCGAAGTTGAGGTACTTATAGGAGCATAAACACGAAAATGATGTTGTTTGAGAATTGATATTAGAGAATTTTGGAAATAAAACAACTTGAATGTTATATAAACTTACCAAGTTTATGATCTTTGGAAGAGAAAACCTTTGAAGCACACACACTTCACACGATTTTTAGAGAAGGAGGGAAAGAAGTTGTTTCAGTTTTATAGAGAGAGATGAGAGGATTATGTGTGTTTGAAATGAAGAGTGTAGGGGGATTGGGGGGGAGGTTCGCGGCCGATGAGAGGGGAGGAGAGGGGAGATCCCTCCTTGATATATGTTGGACACATTCCCATTCCTAGTTGCATGCTAGATAATAGCATAGATGTATAGTATCCAAATTTGAGGTGGCACCACAAAGTCAACCCTCCCCTCATTTGCCTTCTTTTTTTTTTAAATCCAATCGGCCCTAAGGAGGGAAAAAGATTCTTGGGCTTGAAGGCAATTTCCAGAATACATGGGCCCAATAAGAAATTTTTGACCCATTAAAGCCCATCTATAGGTTTTCGACCCAAAGTGATTTGGTGAAAGAGTTTTCGGCCCAAAATTATTCCTAATGGAGGCATTGGGTCCATTAAGATTTTAAATAATTCTACACGGCCCAATAAGGCTCAATAAAGGTCTTATGGTCCAAAAGTATGTTAATTAAGAATTTTCAGCCCAACTATGGCCCGAATATGGGTTCTCGGCCCATAATAAGGTTAACTAGGGCTTTTTGTCCAAAAAGGGCCCAATAAGAAGGTCTTGGTCCATTAAAAGATTTGAACCGAGAACTCAGGGTTAAGACCAAAAGTTGAGTGATCATAGCTTATTGGGTTACACTTTGGGCTTACAAGAGAAAGTTTCGTCGTGAATCACAATTTTGGATGTATAAACTTGCATAGCACTAAAGTTAATTTATACTACACGTAGTGTTACATAGTTACACAAAGAAGCTATCTTGCACATGGATAGGAAACCAAGCCCTAAAAGGCTAGTTGTGACATCAGCCCCCCGTTAGAGGGAATTTTGACCCAAAATTCTTTTTTATGCTATCCTTAAGAACTAGAAAAGAGGTGAGGGTACTTATGTATCATCTGATCCTCGCATTCCTATGTGAATTCAGGTCCGCGTTTGGTACTCCACCGAAACTTCACAATTAGAATGCGGCTTTGTTTCATACGCTTCACTTCCCTATCCATAATTTCGACTGGTTCCTCAACGAACAGGAGATTTTCATTCACCTCAATCTGATCGAGTGGAACAACAAGGGTTTCATCCGATAGGCATTTCTTGTGGTT